CATATCATGTGACCACACCAGGTTCAGTGAACATCCACCTACTTATCTAGATGCAATAAGAAGGGAAAATATTTCTCCTTGTGCTGAGAATTCACTCTCTTAACAGTGTCCTTAGCGGTTTTTTGTTTTGTTTTGTTTTCTTTTTTAAAGATTTATTTATTTTTTTACAAAAGCACCGGGTAGGTCAGAAGCGCAGGGGGGTGAGAGAATTCACCAGAGCCAGAGCGGGGAACAGAACAGGCAGAATGACGAAGTACACTGCTGAGGGGAGCAGTGGGTGCGGCCGGAGAGGTCTGCGTGCCATGTGGGACCCTGGCCGGCCGCCGGGGATCGAACCGGTGCTGTAGAGGCTGCGGGCAGCTTCGCAGCCCAGCGCTCAACCGCTGCGCCACCAGGGAGGCCCAGCAGAAGTTTTTCATTTTGATGAAGTCCAATTTATCAATGTCTCTTTATCCCTAATGCTGTGATGCCAGTTCTAAAAATTCTGCCAAGCCCAAGATTCCTGTTTTCCTTTAGTATTTTTGGCGGTACCTTTTGATCCGTAACCCCTTCTAAGTGAGTTCTGCTATAAGGCGCACACTGTGGGCTGCAGCTCCCACATCTTGCTCCTGGACGCTCCATCTTTCCAGGGTCAGCTGCTGACTATCTGCCATGATCATTGAGGCTGTCAGGACCCAGTTCTGGCGCTGGGATCGATGGGGTCACAGGGGCGTGGCCGGGCCCCACGTATCTCATGTCTCGCCAGGCCCAAGGCACTTCTTTGCTGGCAGAGGAACTGGCTGCAGGTTGCTTTCCCTCCTCTCTCTCTTTTCCTGAAATTTCTCGCATAAAACAAACCATGAAAGGCCAAGGGTGGCTGAGCAGTCTGGCAACATCCCTTTGAAAATAAACAAGCCCAGAAACTGAAAGGCGGCAGCCATCTCTGGGGACTACTTGGGCGCGCTGCTCTGGCCGGTGCATCCGCTGCGCGTGGCTCTCCTGCCCCCGCCCGAAGGCAGGTCAGCTGCAGTGAAGCCAACCAGGATCCTGAGTGCTTCAGATGTCACCTCTGGCCAGGGAGACCCCGAGGCCTCTGCAGGGAGAAGCCCCAGGGTTGGAAGCATCTAATGATGCAGGGAGACAGAAGAGTCCTGTGGCTGGACAGTCTGGGGCCTTTTGCCCAGCTGCCTGCCCCAACCAAGGCAGATGACCCTTCTTTCAAAACTGGGGACATAAGGGGTCTCCCTGGTGGTGCAAGGGGTTAAGTTGCAGTATTATGAAGCTATCCTCAGCCACTGCAGCACAAGTTCAATCCCCAGGCAGGGAGCTGAACCACATGGCCCAGCAGACCTCTCCTGTCTCCCCGCTGCTTCCCTCAGCAGTGTATTTCAGTAGATCTGCCTGTTCTGCTCCCCACTCTGTCTCTGGTGAGTCCTCTCATCCCCACACCTCCGGCCTACAACCCAGCTCTTATATGCATAAATAAGTCTTAAAAAAATTTCAGAAAAGTCTTGCAGGGTTTCTGGCACAGCAGCTAATAATAATAATAGCACTAATTTCAACTACACAGTGTTTCAACAGGAAAGCGTGGTCTGGTGCAAAGTTTGACAAATCTTTTTCTATAAAGGGCAATATTTCAACTTCCCAAGTCACACAGTCTCTGGAGCAACTACTCAACTCCTCCACTGTTTTATTTCTAAAGCAGCCAGGGATGTCTGTCCAGGAATGGTGTGGCTGTTCTAATACTTTATTTACAAAAACAGGCCGCACTGGCTGACCTGATCCCAAGCCTCCATCCCTGAGGCCCCACAGGACCCAGGCCTCTACTTTCCTCTCTGTGCAATGGGGCGCTGATCCCCACCATAAACCACCATTCAGGGCTGCAAACAGGTCAGAGAAGAGGGTAACAGAGGGAGCACCGAGGGAGAAAAGAGCAGGACCAAGAGTCTCATAAGATTCTTTGATACAAAGCAGATTGTTATTTCAGCCAAAGCCTAAAGAGAGAAAGTCACTGACCCCAAGTCATGCGGGGTATCCACGGGTGTCCCAGGACTGCCCCCGGGGGAGACAGCCCACAGCAGAGCACGGGATCCTGGTCCTTGCTTCCCACAGGCTTCCCCCCACAAGCCTGTGGAGGGAGAACAATGCTGAAGAAAAGAGGCTGGAAAAATGAGTCCTTGATGGGCTGTCCCCAGAGACAGGGCCCTGAAGCTCCCTGAGTGGCCTGCCTCACTGAGCAGCCAGGGCCTGCAGTGGGGATACGTCATCAACTCTCTAGTGCCGTGCTCAAGCTCTTCCCTCCGTTGGCTTTCCCCTCCGCCTGCGTCCTGATGGCCTCAATCAGACTGTGGATCACCTGGGGTTCCTGGGTGGAAACCTCCAGTGTCAATCATTCAGGAAGAGGCAGGTCTTCAGAGAGAAAGTAAGTGAGCGGACAAGCCCAAAACAGAGGGTGGGGGTGTGGGGGTAGAGTGAGGGGGGCGATTTTTCCCTTCCCAGCGCTTTGTTTTCTAGGAACTGGACTTCCAGAGTCCAGACATGCTTTAGGATAAAAGCCATCATAGTAAATACAATAGCAGCTAACTACTACCATTTACTATGTGCCAGAATCTTTCCCCACCTCTTCACGTGTATCAATGCATGTCATGCTCACAACAGCCCCAGTAGCACTATCATGCTCTCCGTAATAGTAGGACTCAGAAGAAGTTAAGACACAGCGTTATGAAGCTATCAGCAGCCACCGCAGCACGAGTTCGATCCCTGGCCAGGGAGCTGTCCACAGGGCGCAGCAGACCTCTCCTGCCGCCCGCTGTTCCCCTCAGCAGTGCATTTCGTCAGTCTGCCTGTTCTGCTCCCCACTCTGCCTCTGGTGAAGCCTCTCTCCTCCCACATTTCTGGCCTGTACCCCAGCTCTTCTATGCATCAATAAATAAATCTTAAAAAGAAAAAAAAGGTACTGGCCTGAGGTCACACAGCTCTGAAGTGCCAGAGTGCGGGGATTCTAGAAGAGGCTGCTTCAGAAGCCCAGAGTGGGTCTGGGTTACCGCTCGCGAGACGTCCAAGTCCCTGCAGTGTGGAGGGGACAGCGGCACTCCCGCCAGGGCGCGCCTCCCAGCCAGGGGCCCGGGCTCGGCGTCAGGAGAAACTCCAAGCCCTGGGGTGGCGGGTGGCGGGTCACGAGGCGGAACCGGGCCCGGACCACCAGGACATCTCACGGGCTCCAGGGCTGCGCTCAGGAGGCCCACGCCGGCCCCGTCTCACCTCTCCCGCGAGGGCCGCGGGCTCAGCCAGGCTCCGCCGGCTCCCGCGCAGCAACGCCACGAACCGGCCCACAGAACCTTCCCAACAGTTCCCACGGAAATCCCAGGGCTGACTCTCATTGGGCGCCTTGGGTCACGTGATCATCCCCGACCCAATTGCTGCGGCCCAGGGGCGGGACTTGCCGGTGCTCGGGCCCGGGTCGCGTGCCGCGCCAGCCTGGACTGAGGCGCCCCCCGCTGGACGACCAGGGGAATGCAGCGAGCGGGCGGCCGGCGTCTGTTCCGGGGCCCCGGGGCGCGGGTGGAGGCTTGGCCCGAGGGTCTGTAGGGCCTCGTCGGCCCCTCAAGGGACTCCAGGACCTGAGTTGGCCTGGAACCTGGCTGGACCAGAGTGTTCGATTTCTCCGCCCGCCTCCCCAGCCCCGGCCCCGCCCACCCGCCGGAGGGCCTGTGGCCTCTCCCCACCTGGAGGCACGTGGCCTCTGCCCACTGCCCGGCCCTGCTGGGTCCGCTGTCCTAGTTCCCGGCTGCTTTGCCCCCACCTTCCAACCTTCCGGCCCCTGCCATTCACTGAGAACACGGCCCCCAGATTGGGAAACCCCCGGCCAGTCGGCGTCGACAGGGAAAGCCGGCTCCAGCCACATGCCCGGGGCTCCTCACCGTCCTGGGGGCCTTGCTTACCTCCCCCCACCATCAGAGGGCACCTCTGCCTTAATTCCGAGCTATGTTGGGCCTCCTGGTGGCCGGGCTGACGTCTCAGCCTGGAGGGTCATCGCTGCACAGGGTTCCTGCATACAGAAGGTGCTCAATGAATGCCTGTCAGGCTTACGTTTATAGCTCCGGTCAGCGACGGCCAGGGGCGAAGGGGGATGGGAGATGTGGTGAGCTCCACGAGGACGGAAGCCAAGAGCCACACTGAGCAATGAAGCAGGGTCCAGGGCAGGGGTGGGGGTGGGGGACAAGAGTGTCAGAAATGGGGGGCAGTTTGGAGGGTCTCCAGAAAGGAGTCTGGAGGGGGCCTTCATCCCGAGACCTGGAACAGACACACAGGAGGCCAGGGAGGCCAGGGAAGGAAAGAGCTAGCGCCGTGCCAGCCCAGGCACTTTTGTTTGTTTTTGTTAAGCAAACAAAGCCCCTGTGATGTGTTTTGTTAAACTGAACTTTCCGTATCAGGAGTTTATTTAGCTGGCAGCCGATCTGGGTAGAAGTACTGGAAGCTGTTAAAAAGGAAAGGGACGGAGTGGGGAGAGTCAGGAGAAATCAGGAGAGAACATTTTCTCCAGGGCCTCCAGGCCTGTCAGCAATTGAGACTTGGCCGAGGCTTGTCAACTGATACTCCCCCCAGGGCTGGCTTCAGGTGGGACAGGAGGTGAGAAGGAACGGAAGAAAAGTCAGCTGGGGGGAGTCCGAGCGGAGGGAGAGAAGTACCCGGTTGCTGAGCGGGGAGGCCCTGGAAGGTGCGGGCTTCCGCCGGCCCACAGGTCACTGATGTCAAGATACCACCTTCAGGCTGACTCCGGAGTCCACACCCCCCCGCCATTGTCGCCAAAATCAGGGGGGCCACAAACGGGCGTCTTCAGCCGGGCTACCAGGCATTTAAACTGGGCCGCTGGCTGTGGGACCCGGACAAGGGGCAGCCATGCGGTGACCAGAGCCAGGTGGCCGGCGGAGCTGAAGGGGGTGGCTGGCGGCAGCGCCCCATGAGCCGGAACCATGTCCTCACCAGGAAGTGGGTTCTAATCGTTTTCAGAATGCCACAAAATCCCGGGGTGCACGATTTAATTTTTTTTTTTTATTTTCTGAAATGGAACCATTGTACATTGTACAAACCATATCTACTGATGGAATAAATAAGTGAAAAATCATACTGCTGTACAACACACAAAAAAAAAAAAAAATCGTAAGAGGAAAAAAAACCATTAGGTCAGGGTAAATAAAGGTCTTTATACCTCTAACCAGGTCCTTGGCCATCATGGACATTCCAAACCATGACATCATTTGTGACGGGAGGTCACCACCCTAGATGAATCGGTCACTGCCTTCCGGGGACGGTGTTAAGTGCCAGCACTTTGTGGAATGTGTAGCCGCAGCGTCCCCCACTTCAAGTCGTGTGGGGAGTAAGTTTGCCCTGGGAGCCCTTTAGGCCGCGGGTGGGGCCTGGTGTCCTCGGAAGGCATTCGCTGGGGACCCCCGCGCCTGGCTCGGCCGGCTGAAAGGTCTTAGATTCGTGGTGGGAGGAGGGCGAGGGGCGCGGGCGGGGTGGGGGACAGCGGCTCCGAGGAGCAGACTGCGTCGGGGAAGGAAGCACATCTGGATTTTTGCAGTCAGATTGGTCTGCGTGGAAGGCCCTCCTGGCCAGCGCTGAGTGCAGGGCCGGGGGCCTGTGCCTGGCGTGGCGCTGGCGGGGCCTCTGGTCCCGACCACAGGCCCATTCCTACCTTCAGGCACTTCAGAAAAAAACTAACGACAGCATCGCGGGTGCCGTCTCCATCCTCACCTCAACCGCGTCGACTCCCCTTGCCTGTCCGGGGAGGCCGCCAGGGGCGCCGGGCGCCCCAGGCTGACTTGCGTGTCCGTGGAGGCCTGTGTGTGAGTCTCCTTCAGCTGTCTCGGTGTGACCTCTCGTTTCCCAAGAAGGAAAGGAAATCAGTATCCAAATGCATCTGCTGTCAACATGGAGTTTTGCTGCAAAGAAACGTTTCTCTAACTACGGGGTCTGGAGGTAAAGCCGCCGTGAGATCCGCTGAGAGGAGAGCAGAGCCGCCCGCCCCGGACCCGCCTGCCGAGGGGCAAATTGATAAGCATTATTTTTTTTTAAGACAGAAACCTTTCGGTATCACTAAACTTCAACATTAAGATTTTCAAAGTTTGTTTTTTTTTCCCTTATTTCAGGAGATATTTTTGCATGAGGTATTTGAAATTCAGGAACATTTTGATTCTTCTTGAAGTGCAGGAAATAGATTGGCTCCCTTCAAAAAAATAAGAGCCTCGCTCTCAGAAACTCTTAGAAAATGGAATCTGGCAGACGCTTCCCTGGGTGGTGAGGAGGAAGATCCACACATCGAAGGTGGTACCTGAATATGCACCGATTAGCAAAAAAACAGAAACAAAAACAAAAATAAAACGAAAACCAACAAAACCCCACCCCGCCCCTCCCCCAGCAGCGGGGGAGCTGGAACTCCAGTGCAGTGAAGAAAGCTCGGGAAGAGGTTCGAGGTCTGAGGAGTCGTATCCAAATGAAGAGCGAACCAGGCCTCAGACCAGTCAGGCGTGTCAGAAGGGGCGTCTCCATGTGGCGAGGGGCAGTCCCGGACACGCGGGGTGGAGGCGGGAGGGGTCTGACCACCCCTTTCCGGAGGTCGGAGGAGTGCAAAGCTTTCCAATTCCTCTGAGCCTGGCTTCTGGCCTTCGAGGCCCGGCCACCCAGGCCCGCGTGCCGTGCCAGGACCACGGCGCGTCCTGGGAACGAGACCCCATCAAGGGTCGGCTCTGAGAGTCATGAAGGTTAGGCAGAAGCTGCCTTCCTGGGGGGGGCCTCGGGAGGTGGGGGGCAGAGGGCGGCGGGTCACGGTGGATTTGAAATCCAAGCGAGGTCCTGTGAGGGTTCAGCACCAGCCCTGCCATCCGCTCCCGGCCTCCACAGCCCTTTTATCTCGAGAGGAGACAGGCCGGCAGTCAGCCACAGGAGCCGCTTCTTCTTCGGAGGGGATGGGAGAGAGCGGGGCGGTGGGGGCAGCAGGTGGAAGTTCCAGAACAATCTAAGGGCTCGGCTTCTCAGTTGGGCTACGGTGAGCTTGGAGACACCAGCCTTGGTGACCCGAAAAAGGGAGGGTGTATAGTGGCCAGCCCTTGGGGACAGCACCCCGACATCTGAGATTCCCCAGCCCCATGAGGCTGGTGCTGCCCCCAACCCTGGCTCGGGTGGCCAAGCCCCCTGTTCCTAGGAACAGGTGTCGGGCGGGGTGGTCCTGCTCTTTCACAGCCTCAGGCCGCCCCTCTGTGCCCGCTGGGCCCCCACTGAAGTCCGGGGCCGCTGGGGGCTGGAGGGAGGTGCGCACGGAAGAGGGAAACTGAGGGCACTTGGCAAAGGGAGATGCAACACAACCAGGAAAACATGCCAGAGGTCACCTCAAGGGCACAAGGCACAAAAAAAGAAAGCGGAAGGAATCAGGTGAACAGGGAGAACCCCGACGAACAGCGGGTTCCTGATCGGGGGCTCCCTCCAATAGCTTATATCGTCAAAAGAGAGAAGTGGGGGGATACAGCAGCAACACAAATGTGATCTTGGCTTCAGGGACTGTGCAGGCGCTCCCGCGCGGCCGCCCACCTGCCCCGGGACGGCCGCCGGCTCCGGGGCTGCGCTTCACAGCAGAGTCCTGCAGTGTCTGGGAAGCGACGCCGCTCCAGCTGGTCTTGGGTGCGCACTTGGTAAACTTGAGAGTTAGTAGTTCTGTTCGCGGCCCTGGGGAGCCGCTCGGGTCAGAGTTGTTCTGGAATTAAGCCTGCGGACGCAGCCCCGCCGATGGGCCGGGGGGTCAAGCCTGGCATCTACATCTCCTCGGAGTTTGGCTGCGAAGTCTCCAGTTTCATTTTTTTAGAGGGCGGCCCTCCTTCCAGATCCTTGGGGGGAACAGAGGAAGAAAAGAGAAATGGGGGTCAACATGCCGGGAGACCAGACCAGACACGAGGTTTGTGAGGTTCATGGCCGATCCAGGAAGGAACTGGGGGCGCCATCATGGCAGCTGGAGACCTGAGGCTCAGCGCCTGCTTGGGGTGACCAAGCCACCTGCTCCTGGCCTCTCTGATTCACCCCCAAGTCTGACAAACAGGGATGACCCCAAAGGACTTCCAGCCAGGACAGTGTGGTCAGCAGGAAAATCCCACAGGAATTTGCTCCCAGCATTTAGGGTTCAGGTCCCTCCCCACCTCCACCCGCCCCAGGCCAGGTCCCCACGGCCTCGGCTGCAGCCCCAACGCCCAGCTGGACACAGAAGGACCCTCAGCGGACCCATGGAGGTCCTGACCGTCCACACAGAAGTCCGCAGAACGGGAGACCTCGCTGCGTGCCCTGACAAGCCACAGGCTCCAGGCCCACATGGCGGCCCTGTGAGCCTCAAGGGGTACCTGAGAGATTGCCGGCGTCTCGGCGGGCAGGGCCGCGTCTCCAGACGGCTGCCGTTCTACTTTCTCTGAACTGTTCATCGAGTTTTCCATCGAAGACTGTGAGTTCTGCTCGTCAGAAGCATCTGAGGGAAAAGCAAGAGAGACAGAAGCTGTTTGCAGACACGTGAAATGTGGAGCCAGATGGACTAATTACTAAAAATACCTGGACTGGGTAGCTCTGCAGGCGGCGGGCTGTCAGGGCTGCAAGAGCAGGGGGGCGCATGGGCCCTCGTTTGTCTTTCTGGGATGTGGCTTTAAGCAGCCAGGCTCTGCGCTGGCCCTGGGGCCTCCCGCCTTCCTTCCCTGCACATCTGCTGCCTGCCGGGAGGAAGACGGGGTGCGCTGCCTCGGGCCGCGAGCTCCGGCGCCCTCTGGTGGACACAACATGCTCCAACCACGATGGCTGCCGGCCCCGCCCTCTTGGAGGACGGAGCCTGCATTTTTACCTGGGCCCCAGCAGAGGTGACTGCTTCTTAGTCATGTGGGCACGTTCCTCATCAGGGCAGTGATTGACCATTGCAAGAAACAGGAAAAAAATAAAATTGAAGTCACTGCCCATCTTAGGCCACCCCCACACGCCACCCCTCGAACTGTAGGGGATTTATGACCACCTTCCAGTACGCCTTTGCCCCCCACACACATCGTCCTCTGCTCTCCCTGAACAGGGATCACATAGTCATTTGGAAGAATTTTTCACATCTTTGTAAAAATGGCCCAAATACAGCAGGAGACAAGATGGCCGCCAGCGAGCATTTCCTGAGGAGCCCCGTTCCCTGTGAGCGGTGGGGAGACTCTTCCCACGCTGTCTCCCTGCTCCCCCAACTGTGCCCTGAGCAGGAGGCAGCAGCAGCCCCAGCAGGGCTGAGCCTGTGCCGCTTTGGAGGGAGCGGAGCGGTGCCCCTACCCCAGGCTGACTCAGGCACAGAGCAGAGCAGAGAGCCCACCCAGGGGAGCAACACCCTCCTGCTTGCCCCAAGACCCCAACACCAGGTCCCCCCAATTGTTTTTTATTTATTTATTTATTTTTAAAAAGATTTATTGATTCATGCATACAAGAACCGGGGTACATGCCAGATGTGCAGGAGGATGAGAGGGTTCACCAGAGACAGAGTGGGGAGCAGAACAAGCAGATGTACCGAAATACACTGCTGAGGGGAGCAGCGGGCGAGACAGGAGAGGTCTGCTGCGCCATGTGGGTAGCTCCCTGGCCGGCCATAATCGAATGCGCGCTGCAGAGGCTGTGGGTAGACAGCCTCACAGCGCCGCTCTCAACCACTTGCGCCACCAGGGAGGCCCCAATTCTTTCTTAAAAAGCACATGAAGATATTCAACAATGCCTTACTCCTGTGGTTTCTGAGTTTAAAGTAGAAACTCCAGAGAGGCCTCCCCGGTGGCGCAGCGGTTGAGCGCTGGGTTGCGAGGCTGCCTGCAGCCTCTGCAGCGCCGGTTCAATCCCCGGCTGCCGGGCGAGGGTCCCACATGGCGCGCAGACCTCTCCTGCCGCCCGCTGCTCCCCCCAGCAGTGTACTTTGGTCCTTCTGCCTGCTCTGCTCCCCGCTCTGGCTCTGGTGAATTCTCTCACCCTCCCGCACTTCTGACTGTACCCAGTGCTTGTAGAAATAAATAAATAAATCTTAAAAAAAAAAAAAAAAAAAAAAAAAAACACAGAGAGTGATGGGTAGGTGGGAAGAATCAGCAGTACTCCAGGGCCTGGGGGAGGGAGGAACTGGGGAGCAGGGCAGGGGGCAGCAAGACCCCCACCTCAGCAGACTGACCTTTCACCCCCGAACCAGAGCCCTGGCCTCTTGCACCTGATACCCGCCAGGGTCTGCGTGGGACCGGCCTGCCACCACAGGGAGGGTCCAGGACCACATGCCCACAGCTGGTGTCCTGGAGGACATGGGTTTAGAGGCTGATCTGAGATCTCACACAACTGCCTCCTGTCCCCTGTGGGCTCTGGGGCCCTGCCTCAGCTCCCCCCCGTCCCGCCTGATGTCTGCTGCTCCGATAAGGGACCATGAGGTGAATGGAATGACAGCGTGCCCGAGCCACCCAGGATAAGTGAGGAATTTTCTAGGGCACAGAACTGATCTCCCCATAAGCCTGACATTTCTTTGGTATTTTTAGTTTTACCCTTAAAATCCAGGTTCAGTGTGATTGCTCAAAAAGTGAAAACACCAAATTGCCACATGAGCCAGCAATCTCACCCCTGGCACAGGCCCTGGAGAGCCCCAGTGGGTCCTGGGGCTCGGATCCTGGTTCATTAGCCAGCCGCTGGGGACAGCCTAGGCGCAATGAACAGAAAAGGACAAACACAATGTGCTCTATGCAGACAATGGAATATTACTCAGTCATGAACAGAAGCAGAGTCCTGACACCTGCCACAGCCTCGGAAACATTTCACTGAACGGAAGAAGCAGGATGCCAGGGCCATACAGTGTGAGACTCCACCTACAGCTGGGCCAGGTGCAGAATAGGTAAGTCCCTGGGTGCAGGGAACAGACCGGGGACTTTGGGGAAGCAACAGCACGTGGCTATTTCATGGGTAAAGAGGTTTTGGGGGGTGAGGACGAGGCTATGGAATTAGAGGGGGTAGCAGCTCAATGCTGCAATGTACTAAACACTGCTGAATTGTAGCCTATAAGTGGCTACTCTCGGATCTCCCTGGTGGCCCAGGGGTTAAAGACCGTGCTGTCAAGCTATCTCCAGCCTCTGCAGCACAAGTTTGATCCCCAGTCAGGGAGCTACCCACATGGCGCAGCAAACCGCTCCTGTCTCCCTGCTGCTCCCCTCAGCGGTGCATTTCAGTAGATCTGCCTGTTCTGCTCCCCACTCTGTCTCTGGTGAATCTTCTCACCCCCTCACCTCTGGCCTACATCCCAGCTCTTGTGTGCATAAATAAATAAATCTTCCAAAAGCAAATAAACAAATAAAATGGCTACTCTCATGTGATTGACTCTCATCTCAAATCAAACCCCACATGAACGATGTATTCTATTTCTTAGCACGTGTTGGCTCGTGCCCTCCCTCTCTGCCCAGTTTCTCTGTGCCCCAGAGTGACTGGAGAGGACAGGGAGCCGGGGGCCTGGATGCAGGCTCAGCGGTCACCCAGGAGGCCTGCTGACCCCTGCCCAGCTGGGCAGCTCGGCGGGAAGCAGCCTGGCGGTGCATCGCCTAGCTCCCTGCGCACCACAGCGCTGGAGCTCACCCAGGGGAAATTATTTTCCTGGGGCCTAAATTTAGTGCAGGGAGTCTGGATATTATGTCACCCCTGAACTCACTCGGCAGTAAACAAGTTCAAAGCAAAGTCAGAGGCTGGAGGGTGGCGGGCAGTGCACCCCCAGACGCACAGGGGCCTATGCTGGTCCTGGGCAGTGGGCCGCAGGCCTGCCGGAGCAGTGCAACCAGGGCATGCAGCGGCCGGAAGAGGGCCTGCAGGGCCCTACCCGGGGCAGGAAAAGTTTTGGGGGTGAGGGGTGGGGCAGTTATGGAAACATTAACCCAGGATGGAATTCCTGCTGAGCTGGCCCTTCAGGGTAAAGGAGACAGACCCCCAAACACAGGAGAAACCGGCGTGGCCGGAACGCAAGCAGGCAGGCCTGGGCTCGTCTGGTCCTGCATGGCCCCCACCATGCAAGGGCCGCCACGGCAGCTCCCGGCTCCCGCAGCCCTCCCTGGAGCCGCCGCCTGCCGCCTTGCTCGCTGCCTCACTCACAGGCTGCCTGAGCAGGGAGGCGACTTTCCTGTGTCTTGATTTATAAATCAGGAGACAGGAAGGCACAGGGGGTGACCGTCCCTAGGCCATGCAGCTGGCAAGTGCTGGCCACATATGGCCAGACCACCCCAGCCCTGTCCCACTGTCTTCTGCCTGCAGCGACCCCTTACCAGTAAGGCACCGGAGACTGGGGGCCTCGGGGTGGGGGGCAAGCGGGGATGCCCACATCAGAGCTCTCTACCCAGGCTGAGTGTGCCCCCTTCACCCCAGGGGACCCTGGGCAGTGTCTGCAAACATTTTTGGTGTCGCTGCTGGGGCTGCTCCTGGCAACCAGTAGGGAGAGGGGAGCAGCAGGGAGGTGTCCCAACTTCTCCCCACGCCTGGGATGGCCCCGCAGCACAGAACCACCCAGGCCAGATGCTGCCCACCCGCTGCAGTGGAAACCCCGCACTGTTGCCGACACGGTAAGTGCCCACGGCACACACACACCCCTTGACGCATCTCCCCGCGAGGGCCATGCCTCAGGCTGCACCCCCAGAGCTGGTCACACCATGCCCTGCAGGGCTGGCTATGCAGAGACGTCAGGGCCAGCCAAGGCCAGCATTGCAACAATAACCACAGCAACCCCCAGAATCAAATGACGAGCCAGTAAAGCGAGGGTCCTGATGTGGACCGGTCTCCATGGTGATCAGAAGCAAGAGTGCTCTGAAAAAGGGCGCTGCCACCTGACACCCACGGCTGAGGTCCCCAGCGCCCTTCCCGGGAGGAGGCCTAGGGTGGGGGGCCTGCTCTCAGTCCATGTCCTAGTGCCCAGTTTCCCCCTAGGGTTACCTGCACGCCCCTCCCCCGCCCAGAGTCCAGAGACCTCAAAATGAACAACTATATATGAACACACCTGTCCATGCCATCAATCACTTCTTACCTCCCCCCGCACCCCCACAAAGGCAGCAGTCCCCTCATTGGTCTTCCTGCCTTCACCCGGCTCCCCACTGCCTGTTCTTCGTCACCACAGCCAGACTGACCCTTTGTATCACAGCCCTAAGACTCTTGTGGGCCTCAGCCTAGAAGCCAGGCAGTGAGGTGGCCTTACGAGCCCCCCAATCAAGGGCCTACCTCATTCTGACCTCACCTCACTTTCCCAGCCCCCCCACTGACGCGTCTAGTCACACTGGGCCACTCCTGCCACAGGGCCTTTGCACAGCCGCTCCCGGACCCCACGGCGCTCGCCTCCCAGTTTCCCATGTGGCTTGCCCTCTTGCCTAACTTCAGCCTCATTTGCGTGGTCACCCCAGTGAGGCCTTTCCTGAGCACTCTGTTTAAAATTGTGGACCCTCCCCTCAAGAATCTAGCAAGAGGCCCCACTCTCCTCTCTTACCCCCGTCTCTAAATCCACGATTTCTGAATGGAGCCCGAGGCAGGCCTCCTTAAAGACCTGCTGTGACTGCCTGAGGCTGGAGAGGGCCTTGAGCCCAGCGCGAGGATGCCTACCTTCAGCTCCGGGCAGCTCCTTCCCATCGGCCTGGGCCTCATCTGCCTTGGCCTCACCGCCGTCCCCAGGCACGGTGGAGGGGGGCTCTGGAGCTGGGCTCGAGTTGCTGCTGTTCTCCTGCTTGATGGGGGAGGCGTCAGCGATGGAGCTCTGGTTACTGTTATCATCTGTGTGGGGACGGAAGCACAGCGTGAATCCCGCAGCTGAGGGGGTCTGGCTCACAGCCCGCTTTCCCCGAGGGGACCCTCCAGTGCCCACAGCGGGCCAGGGCTGGACAGCAGGCCCGACCTTGCCGCTGGCTCACTGAGCACAGGCAGCAGCCATGGGTGAGCGTTCACTCCGGGGGCCGCGGAGCCCTCGCTTCAGGCACGGAAATCAGACCCGACGTGGGCCTGGCTCAGGAGCAGAACTGAGGCCCAAAGACGGCTCACCCGAGACATCTCCCACCAAGCTGCACTTGGTAAGAACAGCAGGAGAGCAGTGAGGCCAGAGGGGCACGTGGTGCATCCCACAGGGCTCAGCAGCCCACTCCTCAGCCAGTCAAGACCACCCAAAAAAAGAGCAGGGGGGCTGTGGATTAGGGAGACTTCAGGGATCTGATGACTGCACAGCGTGGGAGCCGGGACACTGATCCCAACACGCCAGCTGGACGAGACGTTTCGGAAGAATCGGGGAACTTGAACACAGTCTGGGGCTTTAAGGATATTAAGAAACGATCAGTTCTGTGAGGAGTGGCCGCGGTGCAGCGGTGCAGAAATGGCATCTGTTAGCGACACCCACTGACTTAGGTACCAACTTAAATCTCGCAACAGGGAGACGCTGACTCAAAGACGTGCCAGCGCACGGTTGAGCGCTGGGTTGCGAAGCTGCCCGCGGCCTCTGCGGCGCCGGTTCGATCCCCGGCTGCTCCCCGGCCACCGGAGGAGGGTCCCACATGGCGCGCAGACCTCTCCTGCCGCCCGCTGCTCCCCTCAGCAGTGTCCTTCGGTCCTTCTGCCTGCTCTGCTCCCCGCTCTGGCTCTGGTGAATTCTCTCACCCTCCCGCGCTTCTGACTGTACCCAGTGCATGTGTAAACAAAACAAACAAACAAACAAATAAATAAATAAATAAAACATGCCTCTATTTAAAAAAAAAAAAAGACGTGCCAGCGCAGGCTGCGTGCAATCGTGCAATTGTCAGAATTCCCTGGATTCTATACTCAAGGGCTGTGCGTTACCGAGTATGTAAATTACAACTCAATAAAAAAAGATTCTGAAGCCGCTGAATAAATGGAAGAGGCCAGTGTGGTCCGGAGCGACAAGGGGCTGGCCGCGCTGTGCCCTCGCGCCCTCTGCCAAGCAACTTTTTGGAGTAAGAACGCAAGCAGCTCAGAGCGCGGAGGCCGGGCCACGGTGTCAGGGGGCTGAGCCCCAGACCCTCCCGTCGCTGGTGACGCGTGACCCCCGGACACAGGCTGACCTGCGAGTAGGTGCTGCTCCCTGCATCCCCGGCGCCCTCCGCCTTCGACCTTCCGGACAAGCCCGAGCTCTGTCCACACCTGGGCCTGGCCCTGGCTGCACACTCAAGTGGAGGTGACACCGAGGAGGTGACACCTCGCACAGCTGGGCGAGGCCCGGAGGGCTGACTGCAGCCCAGAGGTCCCACCCTCTGCTCCTCCGTCACTGACCCAGGCCACGTCCAGTCAAACGTGGGGTCATCTTGGTTCTCAGAGGGGATGTGGACGCTCAGCAAGGGATGCGGCTACTGCTCACTCAGATGTCTGTTTCTGAGAATGAATGGCAGGCCCGCTACTGTTGCAGCCTGAAGGCCTCTCGGAGGGCTTTCCGACATATGACCTGCCGGCACCCGCTCGGGCTTCTCTGCAGCCAGTTCAGCAGCAGCGAAACTCCCTCAGGCTGGAGGCGGTTGTTGGGCAAATGGCCTTCCTTCTCCAGAACAAGCCGGCCCTGGGTCTGGAGGGCCAGACACCCACCACCCCAGCGCTCCCGTGATTCACTACCTCTGTGCCACCGCCTTGTTGTCCAAAAGGCTCAGGGTGGTCACAGGCACAAAGTCTCGGACTTGAGCTGGAGCTGAGGAAAGGGGGGGAACTGCAAGTTCTTATATGGCCGCCAGACAGGGGAGCCAGACAGGAGAGCCAGGTGTGGGCGGGGCCGCCGGGGAGGCCACACCCTCCCCGTAAGGGACAGCTGCTCCGGCTTCAGCCCCCAGGGGTCAGGGCCAGGACTGGCAGATCTGATTTCCTCAGGGGATGGTGGGAATGCAAACAGCAGAAAGTCATTTTTTTTTGAAATTTGGGTTTGAACCTTTGAGGCCAGAAGTCAGGGGCTGGGTTTTCTGGGCAGGGTGGGGAAGACAGCGAGAGGATTATGGGAGTGCCGAGCATCTGCTGCCTTGATCTGGACTGGTTACCTGGGCGTGTGCAGTTGACAAACATTTCACAGTCACACACGTTATCATTCATGCTTTTCCTTCCTCATAAAAAGAAATAAACACCAACAATGTTGAAACAACAGTTGTAGTGTGTGGCCAGCCTGGGTTTGGTCGGTGGGACAAATAAAACAGCCGAGGAGGATAAGGCTGTCAAAACAGAAGGGCAGGTCCCAGAGTGATAAACATGAAGTCAGAAATCCAGCTTGGAGCTTCCCAGCAGCCAAAGCAAAATAAGAAATGGGACACGTGGCTATATTTCCTAGGAGAATATATTTCCCCCTCAAAAAAACACTTCCCTGGGCACACAGGGCTGCCAAATGTCTCCTGGGAGACTTATTCAATGGATGAAGAGGTCTCACTGATGTCTCTGGCTTATTTTCTACTACTTTTTTTTTTTTTTTAAGATTTATTTACTGGGCCTCCCCGGTGGCACAGCAGTGGAGCGCTAGGTTGCGAAGCTGCCCGCGGCCTCTGCGACGCCGGTTTGATCCCCGGCTGCTCCCCGGCCACCAGAGGAGGGTCCCACATGGCGCGCAGACCTCTCCTGCCGCCCGCTGCTCCCCTCAGCAGTGTCTTTGGTCTGTCTACCTGCTCTGCTCCCTGCTCTGGCTCTGGTGGGTTCTCTCACCCTCCCGTGCTCTGTCTGTACCCAGTGCATGTATAAACAAAAACAAACAAATAAATAAAAACATGCCTCTGAAAAAAAAAAGCTAAAAAAAAAAAAAAAGATTTATTTACTAATGCATACAAGAACTGGGGTATAGACCAGAGGTGCAGGGGGTGAGAGGATCCCACCAGGGGAACAGAACAGGCAGAGCTACTGAAATACACTGCTGGGGGGAGCAGCGGGTGAGACAGGAGAGGTCTGCTGCACCATGTGGTAGCTCCCTGGGAGGCCAGGGATCGAAACCGGTGCTGCAGCAGCTGCGGATAGCTTCACAGTGCTGCGTCTTAACCCCTTTTTGCCACTAGGGAGGCCTCTATTTTCTGCTTCTTGGCTCCCCGCAAAGGGAAAGGATGTTTCTTCTCCTCTGCTGAGCCTTCTCCTTGCAGAGGCCTCCAGCGCTGCCCAGCCCTCCTACCCCTTGTCTGGAATGTGAACCAACCTGCTGCGGAAACGCAGGCACAACCCAGCACAACCCAGCAGGCCCCACGGGGCGGCAGGAGGGGGTGGGGCTCACCGTGCATGTCCATCATCCCCGGAGAGGAGCTGTTCTCCGGGGTTGTCACCTCCGAGCCGCACTTCTCATCTTTGCCCTTTTTCTTGTTCTTGTTTTTCTGGAGAAGACAGAGCAGAAGCCAAGTCACCAAACTGCACGCAGATGCCGGGTCCCAGGGGAGTGGTGGTTTATTCTGCCAACTTGCCTTGGGGCCCCAGTCTCTGGGGGTGCCTGTCTTTGAACCTGTGTCACTAGGGGGCTCACCTGCCTTGCAGTCAAAGAGCAAGAGCGGAGGGGAAGCTGGGGGGCTAGAATGAGCGAGCACCAGCAAACACCCTGGTGGCAGGAAGCTGCTGCTTTGGGCAGGTATCTGGGAAGAGGTCGTGGCTACACTGACCAGGTACAACGCGATGCCAGGTGAGGGGGGAAAGGAGCCGCACACCTTCCCACCACCTTCAGGCCCCAGGGCAGTGGCTCCAGGGGTCGGCTGACTCCCAGTCACAGGGGAGAGCAGTTCAGAGGGGAGTCCCAGGGAGGACGCAGGTGAAGGAGGTGCTTTTTGTTTGCGCTTCTGTATTTTCCCGAGGGGATCGGGTCATGCTGGGAACCACCTGTTCTCATCAGCTAAGAGGCTCATTAAATCAGGGCACACTCATTTGCTGTGACACCATGAGACGATGACAGAGAATAGGACAGCTCTTCGTGACTAATGTGGAGTGATCTAGAGAAATCAAAAATATTTCCATATCCCCAAGACACAGAAGGTGCAGAAGATGTGAACAGAATTCTGTTCCTCAGGCGTGCAGGCCCGGGTTCTCCGGAAGGACAGACACGGGGACAGCGCTGGGCTGGGCGAGGGTGCACAGGCACAGGGAGCAGCTTTATAGGAAGATACATAGTCCAAAAAGAAAGAAAAAAAGAAACAAGTGACATTTGAAGAACATGTAAACTGGCAGGGAAAGTAGACTGGTGGTTCTCAGGATCGGGAAATGAGGGTGACTCCGAACAGGGATGGATTTTCTTGGGGGCAGGGGGTTAGAATGTTCTGGAATCACAGGTCTGAACATACCAACACCAAGCTGTACTCTTCAAAGAGGGCATCTTAGCCCACGTGGAGTGTCTTCACTGTTTATAATGGACAGTGAATTTGGTAACATGTTTTACGTACTTAAGAGAATAAAATCTACGAGTTCTGAAAAGAAATCTAGGGTGCCGCCAAGGCTGAGCTGGGTGGAGAGGCTGTCCCTCTATGGTGCAGACACCCAGACGCGGCCGGGAGAGACGGACTCAGCCATGCGGGCAGGGCCCAGGGACCTCCATTTCGAGGCATGCCTTCCAGGGGGTGGGGGTGGGGGGCTCCGCCAGGCTGGGCACCATTGCCCCAGAGCAGGAAGCGGCTCAGAGACCACCGCCCCTCAGCACTGGCGCTTCCTTGCGCATCTGAACAGCTGGGCTGAGTGCCCGCGGGTGGCATATGGCCTTTGCGAGGTTGCAGAGCCAGGAGGTGGGTGCCGCTGCTCCCCTGAGAGGGCATAAAGACACTGCCAGGCAGGGCCATGGCAGGCTGATCTGGGGTGGCCTGTCAGGCTCCCCACCCACTGCCTCCAGCGTGGAGCTGCCCTGTCCTCCCGGAGAGCCCAAGCTTCTCGCTTTCTCCTTGATCACAATCCATTTTGCACTTCCCTGATGTCTGTTTTGTGCTATTCTATAATTATCTTCCCCCAACGAGATTCTAAATTCCTGGAGAGAAGGGACCCGTCTTCGTGAACGCACAGCGCGTATCCAACACCTAATGAAGTGCAAGGCGCAGGCGTAAGCCAGGGGCTGCCTTCCAGGGCCGGCCGTGCTCTGTGCTCCCTCCGGACGGGCCGGTGTCAAATGCCACGACGTCCTGGTCCTGGGCCAGGCCCAGAAGGGCCCCAGCGCCCCATCTAGTGCCCTCCCGCCCTGGGGTGAGCTGCCTGGAGACCCAGATCCACAGAGCAAGTAAAGACGGCAGAGGGAGACTTAATCCATAGTCACGGGCCGCCAAAGCCCCTGCACACGGACCAGTCATAACCGCCCCTCCAAGAGCCGCGGGCGTGAGTGTGAGCACATCTTCCCGGACCAAAGGGCTCTGTGCGTGAATAGGAAGGCAGCCCGGGCAGGAGGACCAGCTCAGGCAAAGGCCTGTGGACGGGACTGTTCTGGATTCTGTGTGGAAATGAGAGGAGCTGACCTGCAGTCTTTGGGGGTAACTGGTCTGGGACCCCGGCTGTGATGGGCCAGCTGCCTGCTCTCCTGCCAGCAGAGATCCCGCATGGCCCCTGGAGCGCCCTCTAGTGGTCACCAGCAGCCCCCGCCAAGAGCAGACAATGTGCTTTGGACTCAGATATTTGCTGTGTGATTCTGGGGACTGGCTTCACCCCTCTGAGCCTATGTCCAAATTTTTGTACAGAGAGGATACAAAGATCTACTCCACAGACTGCGGGAAAAAAGAGGGAATGCCAAGCAGAGGCCAGGTGCTCAGGAGTGGCGGTACGAGGTGGGGGGTCTACCCTCAAACCATGGCCTGGGCCAGGGTGCAGGGGGATGGCTCCTCTGCACCATGGGGAGCAGCCAGAGCTTCCAGCTCCGAAGTGACACCTTGCAGGGGACACTCCCCACCTTTGAGAGCCAAACTTGGGCTGGGCTTGGGGGAGAACACATCCAACAGCCTCTTTGGCCTCTGCTTGGATCCCAGTGCCCAGGCGGCACTGGACAGCTCCTCTTCCAGGCAGAAACGGGCAGTGGCGGGGGGGGGGGGGCATGGATGGACAGCCCTGCCCCAGGACCCGGCCCCCATACTCACATCATCAACCTTGGGCTCCGTCACGGGGACCCACTTGTAGATTCGAAGGGATGTGTCACCCACAGTCACCCACTTCTTCTCCCTGCGAAGGAAGAAGAGGAGCCCGTTACCGGGGCCTCTGGAGCAGGACCCCACTCGGCCCTTGGGGGCATGTCCTGGGAGCAGCTGTGACAGAGCAGCAGCTCAGCATGGGGGCCTGGAGCAGGAGCCCATGTCACACAGGCCAGGGCTGGAACCCCCTGCCAGCCATGTGGCAGCTGGGAATGCTGGCAGAGTCCCTTCACCAGCCCCGGCCTCAGTTTCCCCATCCGTTAGACCAATGGGGTCCTCGATCTCTCCCACAGCCACGAGGACCAGTAAGATTGGTGACACTGGCGCGAGAGGGACAAGCCTCAAGCCAGCCCTCCCCTGGTGGACAGGGCCCTCCCGTGGGGTGGGGCTCACCCTGTGCACTAGGCAATGCCAGAGGTGGGGGGGGGAGCAGGGAGAGACAGTGGGGATGCCCACACCAACCTTCGGGTCGATGCTGCAGGGAGCACCAAGGGTGCGAGGGCACAGGGCAAAGTTGAGGCTGTGGCTGCAACCCAGTGCCCACCCCAGGTGTTGGTACAGAGAGGCTGTGGCTGAGAAACATGGCCTGGACCGTGGCAGCAGTCAGTGACCTCCGCCCCGTTGGCCATCTGCTCTGATGCCCACGTGTGCCTGGGCACCCTCATGAGACCCCAGCCACTAGAGGCAGTTTGTGAATGAGAAGAAGAAAGTCACAGCACTGCGAAGGTGATGGAACAACTGGCTTCCAGGAAGGAGTAATCACCGCCCTCCCCTGCAAGCCACCATGCTCGGGAGCATGGCCACAGCTGCAAACCGAGTCTTTGACCCCCTGCCTGCGGCCAGGCCACTTCCTGCCCTGAAGCTGGAGTGAAAGCCCAAGGTCCTACACCCCAGGGCGCGGAAGAGGAGAGCGCCCCAGGCAGGCAGCAGGGAGCAGTTCTGACTCTCCTAGACACCCCAGGAAAAGGTCAGCTGATTCAGAGGCCCACAATGGGCACCAGGGCCAGACGCACACCTGGTACAGGTGGTCCTGCCATGCTGGTGGGACACCTAAGAGCCACCAGTGCCCCTCACCATAAGGGGTCCTGGGCCCTTAGCACACTCAACGCCAGAGAACCAAACCGAGCACATCTCTGCTCCCCAAACTGTGTGTGCGGGGGTCTGTGCCTTCCCTGGGGGGGGCCAGACCCACTTTCCATGACATACACCGGGGCTCTCATCTTCTCAGTTGTGCACGTGTCGCACCCGGGACAGGCGGGAACTGTCACCTTCCCTGTCGGACTGAAACTGGGGGAGGTCAAGTCCCCCCCAGCCAGTGTGCAAACTTTAGCTGGCATCCTGGATGCCAAATGAGCAGCCAGAAGCCACAAGGTGCTTTAAAAAATCTGAGCCAACTGCTGAACTTGAAGAAAAAGCATCAAGGCGCCACATAAACTCCAGATCCCCAGCTACTACCACAAACACCACCTGGTTACGGGGCCCGCAGGGCTTCCCCCAGAGGGTACTGTGGTACTTGCACCCCCCGGACAGATGGACTGAATGAGGTCCCCGCTAGAGGCTCAGCCCCAAACGCTCGGCCCCAGCCCTGGCTCCTGCACAGGACCCCAGAGTCCCCAGGCCGTCAGTGTTCTCCTGGCCCAGGGCTACACGTGGTGACACAACAGTCCTGGCCCCCCAGAGAGCTCTAAGCCCCCCACCTTGTATTCACTCCCCAAGGCTAGTTCTTGACACCTTCGGAGGCCTGGCCGATGGCCAGCCTCATGTCCACTAGGCCAGGCCCACTCAGGCTTCGTGTCTGATGAAAGCTACAGAGGTGACATTCCCCGGGGACAGCCTCTTAGTCCTCACGCGTCCCCGAGGACCCTGGCCTAGGCCTGCTTCTCCACCCACGACTCTGACCCCCACTCCGGGACACCGGCCCCTGCCTCCCACCTCTGGCCCAGTTTCCCAAAAGCGGGCCCACCATTTTGTTTCTCCTTCAGCCATCTTCTGGCTGCCTCACACCACCCGCCTGCCCCGTCGGGAGACAGAAGGGAGGACAGGACTTGGGCCCCAGCTGCTGGATTTTCCTGGGGCCCAGGGAAGGGCATGACTGGCAGAGGGGGGGTTTTTAGGGGTCACGGGCTGAGAAGAAATACCACCCCAGGCTCACAGGCTGAGTGGCGGTCAGACACCTCTGTTCTCTGCATAAAAGACAGGCTACAGAATGAAGGAAGAATTTCAGGGACGTGTGCAAGTCTTTAAGTGTAAGTATATGCCAAGTATCGCATGGGATATACTTACACTTAAAAGGGTATTTTTAAAAACGCCCTTTATTTATTATTTCGTTGTTGAAAATTCAAATGCACCTGGGTGTCTTCGTAATTTGATTTGCTAAATCTAGCAACCCGGCCACATCCCAGCCAGTGGTTAAAGGCCTGGTCCATGGCCACACAGTTAATAAACAACCCAAAGCCCCGAGGACTTGCTGGAACACCCATCTGGAGAAGCCGTGAAGGTGAGATTTGGCTTTTCAGGGGGCCGGGACGCCTAGGAAACTGGGTGAGGCCTTTTTTTGCTGGGGGGAGAGTGGGGAATCAGCAAAGCCAAGCTTCTGCGGAGTCCGCCTTCAGGTAGGGATGTTTCAGGAGCGGCCCTGTCTGCAGGAATAAGGGGTCTGCCAGGCACCGTCTGATTCGTCCTCCACAACCCCAGGAGGGGCAGCGCACAGGACCCTGGCCCCAAGGGGGAGACGTTACATGATCTGCCCAAGGTCACAGCAAGGGAGTTAACTGGGCGCGCAAGCAGGAGCCCTCGGAGCCTGAGGTCCTCAGAGGACATGACGCGTTTCCCAAAACACAAGGAGGGAGACACATTCTCTGCCCTCACCTGTGGGGCCCGGACCCGCGGTGGCCCCGGCAGGACGGGAGGTCTCCAGGAAGGCTGCTCTGGAGTCAGGCAGGGTGGCCCAGCTCCTAACCTCCAGCTGTCCTCCCTGCAGAGCAGCTGGGAGGGTGCCAAAGCCTCTGGGACCCCAGGGAGCAGGCACCCCACCTCGCCGTGGGGAGCAGAGGGTGGGAGCTGGCCCTTGCCCTGCCTCTCCTCCCAGGCAGGGCCAGGAGGCCTCAGGGCTAGGAGGACCCAGGTCCAGGCCCCAAGGCAGGGGACAGCTCCAGCCCTCCCACTGGGAACCCTGCAGGGCGGGCGGTTTTCCTGCCTGTGGGATGCGGCCTGCAGCCCTTTCTGCCATTTTTAAATGGCTCCAGTTGGGCAGGGGGTGCGCCCCACGCTGGGGTCTCCCACAGCACCCAGAACTTGGGTCTCAACTTTGGAAGGCCTCTCCTCCTCACGGTTCTGAAAATTCTTTGTCCCACTGGAGCCAAACCCAGCGGCGGCCGGGCGCGCCGCCATCTGCACGCAGCCCCTGCCCAGGAGGCCCGCGCACGCGGAGGGGCTGATGTTCCTCCTGCCTTTTTTGTTGGGGTTGACTCAGAAAGGACGGCCGACTTGGGACGGGGCCAGACCGGGGGCTCCCCCCCGGCGGCTTTCACAGACCGAGGCGTTACTCAAGAAATGACACCCCCAAACATACACACACCCCACCCCGCGGCTTGCTTCAGGCTTCGAGTCCCGGGTCAGGGGCGCCCTCTGGGCACCCACCCCCGGGAGGGCGTCGTGGGGGCGCCGCTCCCGCCCTGACCCCCGGGAGGCCGTGGGAAAAAAAATAATAAAGTTGAAATCAGGGCGCGGGGAGTTTTCAACAAGTCCGCCCAGCCGGGCGGGCCGGCGCCTCGGGCCTGGCCCGCGGCCGTCGGGAGGGAGCCGGGGCGGGCGGGGAGCCGCCGCCGTGGCGGTCGCCGCGAGCAGGCCGGGGCCGGGGCCCGAGCCCGGGGGCGCGCAGGGGCGCAGGGGGCGCCCCCTCCCCGGCGCCGAGAACAAAACAACGGCTCCCCCGCCACGCGCGCGGCGGCCCCGGGAGGCAGCGCGGCCGGGACCGGCTTTCCGGCCCCCGCAACGCCGCGGCCGGGCCCGGCGCCTCCTCCCCGCGCGGCCCGTCTCGCCTCCCCGCCGCGAGCCCTCGCTCCAGGCAGCCGCAGCGCTAAATTTGAACGGCTCGCGCTCCGCGCACTCCGCGGCGGCGCCGGCCCGAGGAGGAGCGGCCGCGGGCCGCGCGCGGAGGCCGGAGCAGGCCGGGCCGGGGGCCGCGCGGCGCCGCCGGGGCGCGCGGGGGCGGCGGGCGGCGCCTGCACAATGGAGCCCGCGCGCCCCGCCGCCGCCGGCCTCGCGGCCCCGGGCGCGGGAAGCCGCTTTCATGTGACTTGCACAAAACGAAATGGCTTCTGGGGCCGGCCCGAGCCCCCTCCCGCGCGCCGGCCGCCGCGCCGGGGCCGCCCCGCCGCGCGCCCCCCGCGCCCCGCCGGCCCCGCCGCGCGCCAGGTGGGCGACGGGCGCGAGCGCACCTGGGCAGCGGCCGCGGCCCCCGCCCCGCGCAGGTGACCCGCTCCGCCCGCCCCCGCCCCGCCGCCCGCCGCCCGCGGCCCGCGCGCAGCGCCGCCGGCTCCCGGGCTCCCGGGCTCTCGGGCTCGCGGGCTCCCGGCTCTCCGGCGCGCGGGCGCGGGCGCGGGCGGGGGGCCGGGGCCCGCGGGCCGGCGGGCGCGCCGAAGCCTCCGCTCACCATTTGCGCACTTTCTCGATAGCCGCCATGACCCTCTTGATATCATCTTTGGCCCGGCTCCGGGTCTCGGCTCGAACCGACCTGCCCGACATGGTGCTGCGGAGAGGGAGCTGGGAGCGCCCGCCGGGTCCTGCTCGCGCTCCGCGGCGGCCACACTCGCGCCGCCCGCCCGCCGCCCGCTCACTCACTCGCGCACACACGCGCACACACGCGCACACACACACGCACACACACACACAAAGCCCGGCCGCCGCGCGCCCGGGGCCCAGTGCGCAAGCGCCGGGCGGCAGCTGCTCCGAGCAGGGGGAGCCGCGCGGCCTCCGGGCGCCGCCGCCGGCCTCCCCCGCCCCCGGCTCCCGGGGGGCGCCCGCGCCCCGACTCGCCGGGGAGGCGGCCCGGGGGGACCCCGCTGCGGCGCGCGCGGGGGGGGCGGACACTCACGCGGAGGCCGCAGGTGCCGGGGCCCGCGGGCGGCCGGCCGGGGAGGGGGCGCGGGGCCGCGGGCCGGGAGGCCAGCTCCGCGGGGTCCTCGCCTTCTCAGAGTTGAGGGCGCGGTCCGGGACGCGAGGTGCCGGTGGGGAGAGTCGAGCCGCGGGGATCCCCGCTGCTGGCCCTCTGCCCAGGGGAAGTCCACGCGCCGGGACGCCGCCTCCCGGTCCTTGGTCCCTTTGGGAAACCCGGGTCGGAGGACAGGTGCCTGGGGCGGGGCGGGCGGGGAGAGACGTTCGACCTCGCTTATCAAATAGCTTTCGGCGCAGGAAAAGCTGGCTGATTATCAGCATTTTAACTGGGGCTCTTCCTCTGCCCCTGGAGATAAGGCGCTCGCCATCCATCAGGTGAGGGCTCTCTGTCCCAGAACTGCCTTGGAAACTTAAGCCTTTGCAGTGGAAGTCCCAGACTCAGCCCCCGGGCTGCTGCTGCCCAAATGACCCGCCGGGCACGCGGACCGGCCTGCCTGCAGGGAGGAGTTTTGCGTTGGGTCTTGCCCATCAGGCCCAGGACACAGCTCTGTGGAGGATCCACAACTACAGGGACAACCCAGGTGCCCGGGCAGCTTTGCCTTCAGCTGTGCTGCGCCAGCCTGACCACGGCCAAGCTTGGCCTGATGGGTCAGGCGCTGCAGGGCCACCCTGTTAGGGAGCCCATGGCTTGGAGATGTGTGGGTCATTTACAGGTGGAGAAGTGACCCAGTGCCAGACAGGTTCAATGTCACAGCCATAAGCAAGATCTCCACTCACACTCCTTCTAGAGCCAGCAGTTTCCCTTGAGGTTTTGGTTTTGGGTGAAAGGCTCCAGGAATGAGGAGACTGAACACAGGCCTTTTCCAGGCCTGCTGTCCAAAATGCACATTCCCTATGAACCACACGGAGGCTGGCAGGGAAAGCAGGGAAAGTATATAGCCGGCCATCACACACAGTCGCCCTCTGAGGGTGTCTGGTCAGCAGATACGTGCCTAGGGCCTCAGAACCTCGAATGGGAAGATATCCTATCATAAACCCAGATATCACGGATGCGTGTGTGCATGAGCCATTAAAAAGGCCCCACGCCGATCGAGCCATGACATGGAGGGGTCTGGACAGCAGGGAAGACAGACACCAAAGGCCACAGCGTAGATGAAACACCCATTTCATCCCAATGTTCCATTTACGGGACTATCTAGAAGTGGCAAAGCTGTGGAGCCAGACAGCAGATGGGTGGCGGCCTGGGGCTGGGGAGTCACTGCTAAGGGGTGTGGGGTTTCCTTTCAGGGAGAGACAAAGCTCTGGGCGTAGGTAAGGGTGATGTCTGCGCCACATTGTGGATGGCCTCGAGGCCGCTGTGCACTTTAAAAGTTATAAGGGTCAGTTTTCTGTGATAGGCATTTTGCCACAATAAAAAGAAATCCTAATATTCAGCTTCTCTAGAAATAGCAGATCTGCTCGATACGGGACCCCGTGCCAGCGGGCGGAGAGCCCCAGGTCACCGACCTGTCACCTGTCACTCCGCTTGTTTGTGTGAACAGATGGCCCCGGAATGCCTTTGTGTTTTTGATCTCTGATTAAACTATAAAGCTTTCTACAAATGTTCCTTATAAATCGAGTATGTCACTTTTTATAGTCGCCTGTTCCCGGTGGATATTTTTATACTTGTTTCCTTCTACAGAGCCCTCGGTGTCTGACAATTCTCATATGTGAAGTATCTGAGGGTCCGTTTCTACTACTTCTGGCTCATGGTGTCCTATTTCCTTGTGCTCCACGTGGCTCACATTGACCACGCTGGACGATGTATGGTTACATTTTATTATAGGGAGCATTCGAGGCCCTGGATGAGGTTACTCTCGAGATGATTTACATTCGTGGCTGCCAGGCTCCCAGGGGCTCCGCCAGTCCAGGACGGTGTCTGTCCCAGCTCAGGCCCTGTGCGCCCCTGCACCATCCAGATGATGCCAATATGGAGGACCAGCTGGACGGGGCTGGTTTGCTGATTGCGGCTGGGGGCGGCTCAGAGATGCCGGGATAGTTTGCAATCAGCCACAGCTGGAGAGTTTACACCCCGGAAGTTGGTAAATCGTCTCTACATCATCGGGGGCCCCAAGCCCAGCCTGAGCGGGGTGGGAAACATGTTGGACCCCACGGGGCCCCAAAGCATGGAGGGCAAGGACTCAGCCCCACCTCATACATTCCCTCAACAAGCCATTCACACTGGAGCGCCCAGTGCTGGGCCTGGCAGGAAAGTGGCTTCCTGGCTAGGTTACTTCCCAGGCTTCTCTTTTTCCTTCCATTTCTGCTGATCCTGACTATCTTAGCAGCAGGTGGTGATTTTAGGATGTTTTGAAATACTCTTCAGCGCTTTTAGTAGCTTTCAGCTCAAGACTTCGTCTGAATAACCAGTTACCCCAAATTGTAAGTCAGGCTCTGTCTCAGTGTTGGCGGCTCTCTGGACATGTTACTAGGGTCAAGGAAGCAGGTTATTTAGGCAAGGCTTTGGTCTCCACCTCGCTGTGCTCATCTGTAAAATAGGGAGGCGGTGAGCAACACAGACTCGTTCTGGAATCAAAGAGAATATCTGTCCAGCACTTAGGATCCTGCTTGGCAAGTAACAAGTGCTAGACGGGAAGGACCTGTAGCATCTCTGCGTCATTAGGACCCACCTTGCAGACTGGAGTCAAGCCGCGCTTCCTGTCCAGGCTGCCAAATTCAGCTCATTCTACATCTCCCGTTAAATGCTCCTCCGAAAGCTCATTCACCAGGGAGTGGAGGAGGTTTCCATCTCTGGCCGGGAGATGGGAGATGCGTAATGCGGAGGAAAATAAACCCAGGCCCGGCTCCCGTGTTTCCCAGCAGCTTCGGTCCTCACCTAGCAACTCGCAGCTGCAGCAGCAGCCGCTTGCAGAGACGTTTTGGTTTTGGGGAGCAGGACATAAACGAGACCCAACCAAGGGGGAAGCTTTGGAGATGACACTCCAACCTAGGAGGACACGACAGACCCTTCCTCAGAGACAGGGAGAGACAGAAACCCCTTGCACAGACCAGGGCCCCCTGGAGCAGGAGCCGCAGGCAGTTAGCCATGCCCTGGCCGAGACCCAGCTCTCCTGAGTGGTCTCTGGACTCCGCATCAGCCGTGACACTGACAGGTTGAAAGCGGCCTTGGCAGGAGCATTTACACTATGGAAATTGGCAAGTGACACACAGACCCTGCGCCTCACCATACCCAGAGCTGGCTGGCAGACATTCCCAGCCTACCATTATTGGGGGGAACAAATTATTGTGGGGAAGGTCCCCCCGAGTGTGGGCCTTGATGAGTTTCTTACTGACCGGGGAGAACTCTAAAAGAAATTTTTGTTTGATAAGCCAAAGGATGCCCACTGCCTCTCTGCTTACTTTTTCTTGCTTATAGCCACAACTATAAGCCGCCCACTCAAATACTAATAAATTGGCAAGTTGCATCTCCATCCATGCCGTGCCGGCTGGCCAAAAAGTGGGACGGCTCGAGGCCATCTAAAAATAGGCAGAAG